ACTGGTACAAATTATGTCAAAATTCATAATAATTCTTTTTATCGTTACAAATATGATAAAAATTTTGTAACAATTTTTTGTCATTGTATAAAATATAAAAAAATAAATTAAGCAATGACATTTAAAAATCATTTCAAATAAAATAAGTTTTGACAACAATAATTTTTTATCATTATAAATATGATAAAAATTTTCATAACAATTTTTTGTCATTGTATAGAATATTAAACAAATAAATTAAGTAACAACTTTGAAAAATCGTAACAAATAAAATAAGTTTTTACAACAATAATTTTTTATTATTACAAATATAATAAAAATTTTTGTAACAACCTGTTTGACATTGTATAAAATAATTAAAAAATAAAATAAGTAACGACATTGTAAAATCATTGCAAATAAAAAAAGTTTTTGCAATAATAATTTTTATCATTATAAATGTGATAAAAATTTATGTAATAACTTTGTTGTCATTGTATAAGATATTAAAAAATAAATAAAGCAAAGACATTGAAAATTTTTTACAAATAAAATAAGTTTTTGCAATAATTTTTTTTGTTACTAGAAAATTAATATGAATTCACAAATAAAATTTTTCATTGTAAAAAAATTAAATAATTTAATTAAGCAACGATTATAAAAAATTATTGTAAATAGAACAAGATTTTGCAATGAAATTTGCAATCGTTACAAACTAAAGTTATTAAATATTCATTTTCTTATAATGTTATTTTATTATTCCAAAACAGCATTAATATTTTTTTAATATATAAGAAGTCATAATATGTAGATATGAAAGTATTGGATTCAAATTTCTAATTTATTAGATTAATCTCTTAAAGATAATTAGTTAAATTCAAGATTTCTTAAAACAATTATTCAAAAACCATGGAGTAGGTATCGACTCCTACTGTTTTTTATTTTATTCACCTATTTTTTATGACAATAATTGGTGAGGTATGAAACTATATACGAAGTGATGAGTTTTTTTCTCTCCTTTCTTGGTCTTTTCATATAGGTTTCTGTTTCCTGTGGAAAGAATTGGGCGGGGCCACTGCTTATTGTGGCCAAGGGAAGAAGTGATGGTCATGACTTGATTTGTTGACCGGGTTATGACAATATGAGATGCTTGGTTATATGTTTAAATTTGAAGTATCTAATATTATGGTTCAATCAACTAATTAGAATGCAATGGATCATAATTAGCACTTGAAATATGGATATATTAGTTGTATCATTTTTATTATAGTTTTTTAATTATTTTTTATATTTTATGTCGATCATTTGTCAATTTTATTAAATGGAAGATAAAATATTTAACCACAATTTTCTTAAAAAAAATGTTACTATAGATTTTCTAAAAATTTTTATTATTAAGGAATTCTCAACACCCATCTCATAAGAATTACTGTTTTTGGTTAATTTGCAATTATATTTAGTAAATTCAATAAATTTTTAATTTAAAATAAAAAACCCAATGAAACATAAGAAATAATAAGCAAATAAAATTAAAGAGCCAAAAATTATTTTTTTTTAAAAATAGGCAAGAATTACAAAAAAATTAATTGGGTATAGGTCCGTTATGCTTGATCACTTGAAAAGAGAGAAAATCTTGATTCGGCCTGAATGTAACTCAATCCATTACCTCCTCTTCGTTTACTATTTTTCTATTTTTTTTACTTCAAAAAAGACATGGTATTAGAGGTATTTAAATAAATTCTAAAGTTAATAGTAAATGTAGTTTTTAAATTTTGACTTAAATTTTATTTTGATTTTTAAAGTTTAAATAGTTCTAAACATAATTTTAATTGTCTAAAATTCTCCTATTTTGATCTTTTTATCTATGGAACCATTTAAATTGATAATAAATATCAATTGACATCATATGATGATGTAAGCTAATATCTCACGTGACAAATGAATGATCAAAATAAAATTTTTTTAAAATTTAAGGACCAAAGACAAAAGCATCTAAAAAATTTTATAAATTTCATATATATTTTATAAAATGTTAAATTTAAAATTATAAAAATTTAATATCATTTTATCAACAAAAAAAATTTTATTTTCTATTAAAAATATTATTTTACTAATAAATCATGGTAAAAGTATTATTTCTATCCATAAAATATATATTTTAAAGTATTAAATATCTTTTATTTTCCTTTTTCAAATATATTTTATAAAAAATAAATAAAGCAAAATATAAAAATATTTCAAGAAAAAATTTATTTGTATATATTTCAAATATATTTTATAAAATATTATAATTTAAAATATTTTTTTAATTTTTATTATGATATGATTTATCAATAAAATAATATTTTTAAAAGAAAATAGATTTTAAAAAATTAAAATTAAGTTGAAATTTTCAAAATAATATTGTTAAAATTATATAACATTTTAAAAAATTGAGCAAAAATTTTTATATCAGCTTAAGAAATTAAATAAAAACTCTAAATTATGTTAAAATATTACTAAAAATTTTCACATCATTTTCAAATATAGCTTTATTTGTCTATTCAAAAATATAAAAATTTTATATTCATATAAAATACAAATATAATTAAAAATTTTTTTCTTTCTAATAAAATGTATTTTAAAAAATTTATTAAAATGGAAAAATAAAAGATATTTAATATTTTAAAAAATAAATTTTTTGGATAGAAAATAATATGTTTTATTTTGACTTATGAGTAAAAGAATATTTTTAATAATATTTTTTAAATTTATTATATTTTTAAAAAGGAATTTAAAAATGTTAACTTAATTTTAAGCTTTGAACAATCTATATTCTATTTTTAAAAAAAATCTATCTAATAAGTTATATTATAACAAAAAAATGCAAATGCAAATATAAATATAAATATAATATTTTTATAACACCTGTATAAAATATATAAAATTTTAAAATAATTTTATCTTTGATCTCTAAACTTTGAGAGAATCATATTTTAGTCTTTTATTTATCATATGAGATGCTAACTGATATTATGTGATGTCAAGTAATATTTACTATCAATTTAAATAGTTTCATAAATGAAAAAACTAAAATAAGATAATTTTGAATAATTAAAAAATTAATTAAAAAATTTTAAAATTTATAAACTAAAATAAAATTCGGATCAAAATTTAGAGATTACGATACTATTAACCCTAAATTCTAAAAACAATCCTCTATCTTATTTCTTCTTATTCATTCGTCATAGGTGTTCCTGTCTTTCTAAAACCTATCTAAGCCTCCGCCTTGTATCGCCATTGCTGCCATCATGAGTTGTCTATGGTTGTCTCCTTTTATATTCCTTTCTTTGCTCTCTTTTTTTTTTTTTTTTTTTTAATTTCATTTTCTTACTTTTTATTAAAAATTTTTCCTTCTCTAAAAAAATAAAAATTCCAACTATTACCACCATTGCCACCTCCTTTAATCACTGTCGGCCGTGGTTTCTCTTCATATATTGTCTTATGAGTATTTATTTTTTGTGTCTAAGCTTTTCGCTTCTTCATTTTTTGAAAAATAAAAATATATTCAAAAAATTCTCAAATGTTAGTTCATTGTTGTCGTTCTTTTTTATTTTTAGTGTTTATTGATTGATTGTCTTAGTCGTGACTTGTTACTTGTAGTGATTTATATTTTTTATTTTTTAAAATATAATAAATCTAAAATATTTTAGATCTAAAATTTTTTTGTAGGGTTTTTCTTTTTCTTTTATGGGTAGTTGTGTTGATTGATTTTGTTATCGGTGAATTGTGCTGCTTAAATTTTTTAAAAATTTGAAATTTAAAAATTCAAAATTTTTTTTTATGTTCATTTTCTTATATTAGGAGATGATTTTTATGGAAAAAATACTTTTAAAAATTTTTAAAATTTATATATATGAAAATTGTTGATGTTTGAAAATTCAAATCTCTATTTTCTTTTTTGTATTTTTGTATTTTTTTAGTTTTTTTATTTTTCTACTTTTTGAAATACATTTTTGGATAAGATATGTTTGATTTTTAAAAATTTTTGAATCTATATTTTGGTTTTATTTGAATTTTTTTGTAATTTTCAGATTTTTTTTCTTTTTATTTAAATTTAATTAAATAATGATGCAATTTGTCAGCATCATTACTGCTACCTGGCATCAAGAACCCCGTGGGTTCATTTTAACCTATATAGGTATTGATATTGATTAAAAGTAAAATGATGATTATTTTACAAAATTAAAAAGTGCCAACCGCTAACTTTTTTGCAATTGGATAATATTTACTATATAAAATAATAGATAAGATGTTATGGTAATTATTTTACATTATATTTAAGTTATATTTTAAAAAAATAAAATTATAAAAAAAATTATCATTTTTTTTTTGTATAAAATGATTTAATTCTCCTAAAGTAGAGATAATCATTTTTAATTTACAAGATTAAATTTGCATATCTTACTTTACTTTTAAAAATTATATAAATAATTTAACTTATATACACTTTAAGGAAATATAATTTTGACTAATAAATAAATTATTATATTTTAATTCTTATATATATCAAATAAAATATAAGATAATATTATTTAATATAATCTTATTCATAACATTTTTTTATCTTATTCTATTATAATCTTGTAGATCAAACACAATCTTAATTTATATAATAATATATAAAGGTATACTAAAACATAGCTAAAGAGGCAAAACTTCATTATTGTCAGATCAAGTTTCTTAAGGTTAGACATTAAAAATGATTAAATTAAAATTAAAATTAAAATTAAATTTTAAATTAATAGATTGATAACATTATTTAAATCTATTATTTATTAATGAATTTAAAAGAAATTGTCAATGTTAAAAGAATTTATTAATTTGTAAATAATAATAATAATAATAATAATAATAATATCTTTTGGGATGAATAACTTAACAGATTTGTTTCTTTTTCTATAGGAATAGGAAGTAGCTAAAAGAGTATTCTCACCTATATTGAAGCAGTGTTTTCACATCATTTTTGCTCTCAAATGCAATGTCTAAAATGGCTGTAGCAGTTATATTAATTTGCATTTAGAAAGTAGATTCGAAGCTACATTAATCAAAGCAAGGCCAGCCCCAGGGTGACATACGCTTGCTGGCAGGCCCTAAACTTGGAGAATGGAATGGGCAACATACCAATATTTATGAGTAAAATGATGAAGATATAATCATCATCATTATTTGGAGTAGGCAGTTTAGGCATAAAATGGACATTCATGTAAAGAGTTGGTGATCAACTTCTATATATATATAAGAGCTTACAAAATAATCAAAACGCAAACAAAGTGGAGACTGACCAAGAGAGTTATGTACACCCAACTCCCTTGATTATAGCTATTGGCAAGTACAAAAAAGCTGAAAACCCCAAACTGAGCTGAATCTTCAATCGCTTATATCATTTAACAATCCCCTTCCATCATGATTCTTTTCTAATGTAATCCTGCATGAAACTATACTTCATCAGTTCTAAAAAGTTCCTACAGCCTTGGATATATATATATATATATACATATATATATAGCAAATTAAATCTCTTATTTTTTTTCCTATCCATAAATTAAGCATATATAAGTAGCTATATGTGAATGAATGTAAGCTCGTGCATGTGTCACAATTAGCGCACTGAACCCCTCGAAGTGTCAATCCCTTGGTTCAAGAACTGCACATGCTTGGAGTTTGAATCTCGTCTCTAATACATTTGCATGTACTGCATATTTATGGAAATTGAAAATAAAACCCCTAATAATCTCAAAACACCAAAATGATTGGTTATAGGTATACGTGCACCAATTGACAGATTAAATGAACAAACATATTTTGTCTCAAGGGATCATGTATTGTAAAAGATTGCCATATATTTTCCTTGTTACAATTTAAGTCGAGAAAGGAATGATTAAACTTTATAATAAGCTAACTGTGATTCCAAGAAATCAAAGATATAGCAAATATCAAGACCTAGTTACAGCAACCTATGGAGATAAAGTAATTGATCATGCAAGATCTTTCTCCTGAAGATGGCTATCTAATTCTAAAATTTACTTAAAGAGATGGAGATGAGTAGGACATCAGAAGTAGAACTGATAAACTAGAAAATTCGATGAATCATACATAGGAATGGACATGATCTGTGATTTCTTTTATAATATTCTTCGATGCATTTTTCTAAAGCTATTTATAAGTTCTAATGATATATAGCACAACAACAGAAATTCTTTGGTGCTGCATAAAGGTTTAATATATTTGATGGCGAAGAGATGATGAAGAAGAGCGACAAGAACACATGCGGTGGTAGATTGAATGTTTTTTTTCTCAAAAAATGCATTCTTTCGATGTCTAAAGCTCACTAATTTGATCAACGTACCCGGCATAAACTTTAGCTCGAATCAAATCTTTAGTCAGAAAACAAAAGTATATAATTTAAATGGAATAAACTTACTGTCCCACAAAATCTGATGCCGGACAACATGCCATCTAATCTATATATTGAAGGTACAAAGGGCAACTACAAAATTAATTTATTAATTAATGCAGATATGCAAAATCTCAAAACTAGCCTTGCGAAGATCTTCTGCACTAGAGAAAAACAAAAAAAATCAGTGGGGCAAGCGTTAAATTATTGTTATTGTTAACGTTAAATAAACAATTGTTAATATAAAGACTTGCAATTATGTTAATGGAATTGAGCTAAAGCCATATATAAAGCATGGATAAACACTAAAATATTAACTAAGCTGATTTCTTAAGAAACCTTAAACATTGATTAGTCCTTTTCTTCCAATCATTTGTATAATTAGTATTTGCAAACATAGAAAAGTGTATGATATCTCACTTGACCCTTCATGGGGGCACAAAATCTGCAGAATCTCAAAAGGGCTAAATCAAGGAAAAGTTGTCATGAAGTAACAAATATAAAAGACAGCAACTATTGACACAGTGTCAAATTTTGCACAATTTTGATTTGTTGGCTGTCTTAGGGGGTGAGAGAGAGAGGGAAATCTTCCCCATATTACAAGCAGCTCTGTTGTTTCTAGAGATATATTGATTGACTACATTTTCACCATCGTATTGAATGTCTTCAGAGAGTAAAAGCAACTCTCAAAACATTTCTGAGACTTCCATCGCCCCAAGGTTTCTACATCATAGCACTATATATGCAAATTAGGGTTCTTGAAAGTTGTAAAATTTCAGTGGGAGCCAAAGGAAAATGGCCTGTTTACAATATTGAGGATTAATTAATTTGCATTTGGTGTACCACCAAATAGGTAAACATTTAGTTATTGATTTGTCTTTCGTATGTCAGAAGTCTTCCGAAAGCAGTCTTTTTAGTTCAGAAACTACATGTAGTCATTGATCTCATGAAATTGAAAATAAAAGCACTGCTTGCTAGATCTAGCATTTTAAAGTGAAAGTAGTTATGGAAATTAAGCAAATTTTGAAACGGGTGGATGATAATTACCATATTTGGTCCGGAAGGAGGAAAATGAATCAAGAAAAGTGCATGGTAGAGCTGGATTCATCACTTCCCTTGCCTTGATTCGGCTTCTTCTTTTTCTTCTTATAAGGGATCCCCCTTGCCTTGGCTTGACACTCCCTGACCTCTCTGAGATAAACTCGAATAGCACTGCTGGCGAAAGGGTTGGTCTCAGGTGACCCTCCATTCTCTTCATAGGCGGCTCGAAGCCTCCCAATAAGAGCATCAAGGCTGCCCCAAGCTTGCCTAAGGGGGCAAGTGCATGGAGCAGGCGGCTCGGGCTGTCCATAGAACATGCATCCCTGCAGGTGAACCTTGGTCTTGCCAAACTGATCCAGATATCGAAGGAAGTCTAGCACATGGTTGCAATTGCACTGCGAAAGAGGAACTGGGGGCCTCTGGTTCTTCAAGTACTGGCCGAAGGTATTCCAGTCCCTTCTCTTCTGTGACTCATATCGGCTAGGTGTTGGGGGTTGCTGCTGATCACCGGGATTAGTCCTTGATGATCCTTCCGCTATATCCTTCCCTCTTTCACTCGACATATCGTTCAGATCGATGCAGATTAATTATCATTTGCTAAATAAGGCAAGAAATTATAGAGGGGGGGGGGGGGGGGGGGGAAAGAGGGGAGGTGAAAGGAATAGGAGAAGCAAGGGAGTGGAGGAACAAGAAGTTCACATCATGGGGCAAGCGATACATGGCATTGGGCCATAACAAGTTGCTTTCTATTCCTCTTTTTCTTCATCTTTTATTTTTGTATTCTCCTTTTTAATAATAGTACCAGAAAATTAGCTCTACATTTTCCCTATAAGTCCATACAATAATTATATGTTTTTTGTCAAGATAAAGCATTAGCATGTTAATTTTGAAGCCTAATTACCATTAAACCCTGATCCTCTCTAGTGATAATTTCTCCGCAGTTTGTACAAACAAGCTATCTTTTGTGTAATAAATTAGAGGATTATTATTTCATCATGATCACCGAAGGTTCAACTAAGCAATGTCGTTAAAAAAAGAAAAAACTGGTATTTTTTTTGCTCATATGAGTTACAAATTAATTTGACTCAACAAACTCGTTTTAGCTTTCATATTTGACTCATTAAGTGGGGATCAGATGTGAATGAGATCTACTATTCAGATTTGACACTGTTGTTTTGGTTGTCATTTTCAAATTTAGGCAATGGGATATATATTATTTACATACAACACTAAACCCTGGAAAAGTACGTAAGATACTAAAATACATACTCATAACATCAATCAATCCAGTTGTAGCTAGAATCAAGCTTTATTAGGTTTTTGGGAACATAATCACCATCCGGACAAGATCAATGCCCCTTTATTGCCTAAAAATTATGCATATCTATACATCATCTATTTCCATCTTCCCTTGGGGCTGACAAAACGTTATAAACATGCAATTCCTCTATATTATACGGCATAAGAGAGAACTGGGCTTTGAACTTTTTTAATAATTTATTTATTTTCTTTAAATTATAAAAATTCGAATCTTGATATCTGAAATAGAGTTTAATATTTCGTCAATAGTTCATGCGGCTATGACTCCTAAATATTGTTTGTATAATATTTGAATATTTGATTCATACTAAATACACGTTTTTTTTTTGTGTTAAATTAAGTTTGTAAAAATAAAAAATTATCTTGTGGACATGGTTGTATTTCTAATATTACTTCTTATTAGGGTTATCGTGATAAATTAGCACAACAAGTTTACTCACTCAAGTGAGGATGCTTGCCAATTTTTTCTTTAAAAATATAAAAATAATAATAAAAAAATTAAGCGTAGTCCTTTGGCTTGTATACATAAAAACTAAGAGTGTGTTGGCAAATTTTGGAGCTAAACGTAATGCGGTGGATTTTGCTAATAACAAATTATATTCTAACTTGTAATGATCCGGGAGCGAGGAAACCTGAGATACAAAATCAAACTTGATTGGAGATGACAGCCGACCAGTTTCCATGGGTCCTACGCGTATACGATCCATTTATAATTCGCTGGATCTATCAATTTTCTCCATTTCTCTAGTACTGCTGCTTCACTAAATATTTTCAATTAAAGTTGGTATACAAAAAATCTTAAATTTCCTTGCAAGCTGTTGCATATCTAACTAATTTCTACTTGCCTCATTCACTGCTCAAAGTATAGCAAGTTTTTTTTGGATCTTGCATAAGAAACAAATGCAAAAAAAAAAAAAAAAACAACTAAACTAGCTCAATGCTCAACAAAATTTGATATTAAGTTGAATTTGAAGTCTAAAAGTAGTTCAAGAACTCAATCCTTGGTATTGAGACATAATATTATTGCAATTAGAAATGTTTTTAAATCGAGTTGTTTATCAAGTTAGCATATGAATTCAACTTAACTTATTATATTATTAAATAATATAATTTAATTATAAAAATATTTTAAAAAATTAAAATAATAATATATAATAAATTTTAATATTTTGATATTAAACCTAATATAATTATACGAAAGAGTGAATTGAGTTTGACTCAGCCAGGCTTAAGCTTTTAGGTCTGAAGTAGACGTATTTGGATCCCATCCACAGACATCCTTAAAACTAAAAACTTGTTCTAAACATGAATAATTAACTATGAAAACTTTCATAGTTATTAACAAAAGCTACCTGTATTAACATTTATAATATTGCGAAAAAATTGTTTTATTTGCAGTCTAAAATGTTTTATGTGACAACATGTTATTCCTATTACATTTTAAAGCAAGAGTAGGAGTAAATTGCACTAGAAATTTGCTGTCTTTATATAATATTTTATTTTTATTTTAAAATTTTTTTATTGACGACCTTTTAAACCATTCTATCCACCATCATTAAAATTGACAAATCTTCCGATCTCAAAACCAAGAGGCATAAACTCTCAACTATGCGGTTAAAAGAGGTGGATCTGTTTTTAACATGAAATTTATGATTTGTGAGGTTCCACGTGGCACTAAAGTGGTCGATTTCGTTGATTTCTTATTTATGCATTTTACTAACAAGAATATGCACAAAGTAATTACAAATACTTTATGCGACAATAACATTTGCTCAATCTAATAATATTACACAAAATTTGGTTGCAAGATATTTCATATCTCTTGTAAAATATAACTATACATTTGGTATCTAAATTTTGGCAAAATTTACAATTTGATACACGAAAAAAATATAATATATCATTTACATTCTAAATTTTTAAATTATCTATTATGCTGCTAGTTCAACTAGTTTATGCATATGGCACTTAGACAAGTTTATCAAGTTATGGGTACATTTATGAAATTATCAATATCATTTTTTATTTCAATTCAAAAGTGTATTTTTTCACTTAAACGATGAAAAACCTATCCAAGATAGACCGATTGTTGGATGCCATGTGGCATCAACATGTCATCCACGTAAAATTTTCATGAAACATTTATTATTTTAATTTATTTAACATGTGTTTTCGTGCATGCTATAATAAGTAGATGTCATACAAGCGAGTTAGGTTAATAGTGTTAAATTTGAGTTAACATGATATAGTATTCGAAACTTTAAAATCAATTTGTATTTTTTTATTGGGGCAATTTGCTTATTTTACTATAATTTAGATATCAAAAGTATAATTAACTCTTCTTGAAATAATAGAAACTACTTAATGACTATTGGAGTATGCCCTAGACACCAATCAGATTTGTCCAAAATACTCTTGTTATTGTAAATTTTGAATCTAATAAAGTATTGATTTATATGCATGCTTACAAGTACATAATTATGTATTTTTAATGATAAAATTTTTGGAAAAATCAATTTTGCAAGAGAATTACAAATATGTTATAATTATGCATTATTGCATCAAAGCTTTATTCCTTAAATGTTATTCATCAATGCTATATCAGGAAAAGACAATGATGAAAGTTGTTAAGATTTGCACATGATTAAACTTTTGCTTATGAAGCAAGTTACTGATCTCATAGGTTGAAATTTGGACAAACTTTAGCTAATATGTAAGTGTTTGTTATAAGGACATGTTCACTAAACATGACTCGAAATGAGAATGCAATTTGATAAATCACTTGAACGTTTGTGGCAAAATTCTCATGTGGTAGTTGCATAAGTGATTATATGACTTAAGATTATTCATGATCTTATATGAGAAATGTACTTTTATTTTACCTTACTTATGATCCTAACCATGGATGCCCTAGTGGGTTTTTTTGTATATAACATGATACACATAAAAATGCATGTATTAATAAATAAAAGATTTTGTTAGGATATGCCCTTCAAGCCGAATCAATTTTGATGAAAACATTGTCATATTATGATACTTTAATATTTGATATCTAATAAAAGTCTTGATTGTTTTATCATTAAACTTGTATACATATATGTTGTTGTTAATGCTTACATGATAAAGTCCGTAAAATATAAACAAAACTTTGCAAGAGAATTACAATAAGATTATAATTAAGAGATTATCATAGCGTAATATTCATAAATAGTTCCTAGTTGATACTTTATCTATAAGAGAACAATGATAAAAACTGTTGAGACTAGCAAACTAGCACATGGTTATGCCTTTGCTTATAAAGCAATCAACCGTTCCCATAGATTAAAGTTTGGGTAAACATGAGCTAACATATAAGTGCTTGTTGCAAGAATAAGTTCAATGAACATGACTTGAGATAGAATGCTATATGGTAGTTCACATAACGTCTATAGCTGCATTCTTATGTAATGTTTGTATATGTGATCTTTTGACTTGAGATTTCTTATAATCTTATATGATAAGTATTATACTTTGACTTTACTTATGGTTCTGACTAAGAATACTCAAGTTGAATATAGTTAGTTATAACATAAAGCATATGAAGATGCATGAAATAATAGGGATGGGATTCATCATCTTATATGATTAAGAGAGTATCTCAATTAGTCTTAATTGAATAAACTCTAAAAATATTTGGCCAAACTAAAATAAGAGTTTAGAATTATTTTAAAGCTTATTTATAAATTAATGTCAAAGACAAGTGATAGACCTAAATATATAGAGTTTTTACATGAAAAATTATGCTAATTTTTAAATTTTGGATGATTTTTGGGTGTTTTTAATATTATTTTCATGATTTTAGGTTTTTAAACACATGGATATCATTTTCATGTAAGCATGCAAGGAGCAATTTTGGGACCAATATTGGAAGCTTATAGCTGAACCACCTCGTCCCACATTTATAGAGTTTCAATTGCATAAAGACTCTCCCAAGATACATTTGGCTAGAGTAATTCCAAAAAGGATTGCATGCAATTTCAAGCTCACTTAGACTCCATTATGTTCAACTAAAAAGAAGTTTTGATCCAAGCATGACTCTTTTGCTTAGCCATGAAGCAATTGTGTGGCATAAGGACTTTATCCATTCAACTGTGCGAAGGGGAAGATTAATTTGCAAAAGCATGGACTCTGTAAGCTCCATCTTATTTGGCTAAGACTTCAAAAGAGCCTTTATACAAATTTTCACCATAATAAATGCTAGGTACATTTAGCCAAGAGGCATTTGAAGCTCACCATGAGACTTGTTGCTTAACTTAAAGATT